CCAGGTAAAATATAGCTCTTACTCTGTAGAATCTCCACGTAAAAGGCTTGTGTCTGGAATTAGAACTTCAAAAATGCCCCCAATGAAGAGCCACCATCTATAATAATAAAAGCATAATATGCTAATTAGACCAGACAGCCGAAGGACCTTCCGGACTACCTTCTGGATGAAGCCGGGGCTGCGAGGGCCGAGCCCCTTGCACAAATTTTGTGCATCGAGCCTCTAGTTTCTATTATAATTAGTCAAACTTTTAAGCCAAAAACTCAAATGCTGTAAATACTCCTAGGGGAGCCCTGAAGTTATTATGTGATAAGCATGTCTAGTGAATGAAAGAAAAATAAAATTATTTCCTATAAATTAACTTTGGAGGTATAATTTAGATAAAGAGGTGTTGAACAAGGTATCAGATGGTTCTAGAATCAGTTCAGCTTCTATGTGACTTCATGTAAATCAGTTTCCTCTTTGAGCTTCAGCTTCCTAATCCATGTAACTGTCTACACACAGGCTTGATATGACATATATGACAGCATTTTAAAACATCATATGGAACTGTACAAATGTACAGCATTAGTATGTTCAACTGAAATAAAATAGTACCTCTGACTTCTAAACTACCCAATCAAATAAATTACCCTTTGTATTTTTTAATTTATGAATTCTAAAATATTATTTTAAAATATTTTAAATTTAGCATATTTATATTTCAATGCCAAGTATTCCACATAAAACCCTCTTTGGGGATGAATATCAAGACTGGATATTAATCAGGGTTGAGCTGGTCAATACTAAATAACATTTAAATAATTATGGAAAACTTTTACCTTTAAGCCACTTCAGTGAGAGGAATAGATTAATGATTTTCAGCATGAAGATGGTAAATAATGTCTGATTCCTATTTTTCTTGGGATATATGATGGACCAGCTTGCTTAAGGTTGGTGCTCATGATCCTGAGGTCAAAGATTTGCTTTTAGGTCAATTTTGCCATGTTTTCCACCCTAATTGGTCTGAAGAAGACTAAGTTGGGAAGGTTTCTAATCTACCATGTTCCCTAGAAAAATTAAACAGGTCACCTTACTGACAGGGAATCAATGCCCTGCTGACAACCTTTGTTCTTATCACAGCACATCTGGAAAATGGTTACATTTGTATAGTGCTCTGGTGTTGTCTTGAAGGAATTTGGGACCCAGTCTCAGCCACTGGTGGCCAGGTAGAAGGCTGCAAGGATTGATGTAATGCCCATGGGGAACCCTGCCTCTGAGGATGATGAAATAGAGGAAGGGGTGAGCAAGCATGGTGGACTCAACACATCCAAACGGAACTTCTCTGCCCACTAAGTCGGCTCTCTTACCCCATCGTCCCATTTATGTCACTGGAAATACTTGAGTTAATGCTGTGTTTTCTTTAGCTCCTTTTGGTCCATTCAACTCAACAAATATATACTGAGCAACTTTGGGCAGGACACTATATTCCACTGATTAAAATCAGTCATGGCCGTCATGGCACTTCAAGGTCTGGCTTCTGCCTGCTTCTTCTGCAGGCTCATGGCAGCTTATACCCCAGAGTTGCCTATATTTCTTTACTCATTATATAATCTGAGGCAGAATTCATTCAGATGTTCCTCATCTTCTGCATACCACCCATTGGCCACGCACACTGAAGAGGCAATAGGCAGGGAATCCAGTGATACCATTCACAGGATCAGCATCTCAGGAGATAGAGAGTACTGAACAGGAGAGGGGAGGGCAGAGGGAGAATAATCAGCTCCCCTGCTAATTAATTTAGAAAAAGAAAAATAATTTCCTCATGTTCCTCTCTCACTCTGAAATGTCTAAGGGTGCCTCATTGCCCTTAGAGTAAAATAAAAAATTATTTCAAAATCCTTGGCAGTCAGGTTCAGTCTTCTGCATTTTTGAATATGCCTCCTCGCTCTGGCACTTACTATACTACCATGGGCTCATTACTTAACTTCACGGGGCCTTTCTTTCCATTATACAAGCAGGGTGTAATACCTTTATTGAGAATCTGCTGAGAGGGCAGAGTGATCTTCTTTGTGCTTTAAATCTGCCCTGCTAGTTTCTGCAAATTCCATGTTCTGGAGTGGAACAGATCCTACATGAAACCTCCTTATTCAAGTCATCATTGAGCTCTCACCTTCTCCATACTTAGCCCCCATGCGAGCTAATGAATTCTTGTATGTTAGAAAATATGAACTAAGAGTTATCTGAGTCTTTTTCTAGACAGCCCTGATAACAGGTGATTCTTGACTTCTTCCTACATCCTTGTTTGTTTCATGTACTCACTTTCCACTCACCTTACAGCTGCCATGGTGGTATTGCTTAAGGCAGTGGTTCTCAACCTTCCTAATGCCATGACCCTTTAATACAGTTCCTCATGTTGTGGTGACCCCCAATTTCATTGTTACAAATTGAACATAATTAAAGCATAGTGATTAATCACAAAAACAATATGTAATTATATATGTGTTTTCCGATGGTCTTAGGCGACCCCTGTGAAAGGGTCGTTCGACCCCCAAAGGGGTCGCGACCCACAGGTTGAGAACCGCTGGCTTAAGGGTTTTCATGACCATCAAATTGCCACAGGAGTTCGCTCTTGATTATCGAATTGGAATTTCAATCATGTTGTATACAACACACTCAGGAAAGGTGATCCGATAAAGACTGATTTTAATAATACTATACTAATTTAAAAATAATAACAACAAAACTAAAGCAGGTTACACAACCTGGGAAAGATAATAACTCACGGGTCTATTGACAGTGTGTATGTTGTGTTTTAAGTACATGAACCACGATTTCCTTCAGGGCCACACTACTCTCAAGCATGGAAGGAAAATAAGCAGGTTTGGGAGAGAAGTTAGGTTTGGAATCTTGGGATTTGTTGAGTAAATTGTTATGGGTACGGCTCCCCCTAGTGTACTGAACAACACAGGTACCCTGGTGTGCAAAAGCTGAGCATTATCTCCAATCACCAATCTTACCTGAACAACTTGGGATGTCTATGCTGCCATTGCTCTCCTACTGTAAAACCTGCCACAGGTCGAGGAAGAAAAGGGGCAGTTGTCCTTTATCCAATTTGATTTGAGCATCAATTGTCATGGAAGTAGTGAACTAATTAGAGAACCCAAGTAATATTAAGAAGCACAAAAATATTTTAAAACGAATGTTACTCTCTCATGAGGTAGAGGAATGTGCTTAGGGAGAATAAGCCAAATGGAAGGGTGATTCTTTGTGAATTATTTTACTACTAGAGGCCCGGTGCACAAAAATTTGTGCACTCGGGGGGCGGGGGGAGGGGATTCCCCCAGCCCGGCCTGTGCCCTCTCGCAGTCTGGGACCCCTCGGGAGATAA